GAGTCCAGCGACATAGCCATTACACTAACTGCTGGTCCCTCATTCATTTATTTTGACGAGAGAGAGAAAGTGAGAAAACAAGCCACAAGGTCTAGGACTTAAATCTTGGTTGGCCATGTGGTAATTAGTGTTCAGCACCTTAGCTGCCATGCAATCTGCTGGTCCCCAGTTGTAAACTATTAGAGAACATATTATGTTCTCTATTGTCTTACCTATTTAAAGGAAAAGTTACTTTCCGGGACCAGCAAGTGACTGTAATGCTTACTTTGCTGGACTCCCACGTAGTCCACTGCAGTTAGAGTCCCGGACCCAGCAACTTAAAAACTCAACTCATGCATGCCCAAGATCCCAAGAGAAGAACAGAGAAGGGATTTCTTTATCGCCCTGGAGGATAATTTTTATTTTACTGTTTTTCTCTTTGGCAAACATACACTCCGTATAACAAAAACCTCTCTAAAAGAAAAAGAAAAGGTTAATTTTCAAATACTACCAGAGAAGATCGTTATTTTTGTTTGTTTTAAGTTTTATTTATTCTATGAGTGTGCACAACAGAGAGACATCATTATCAGCAGAGTCCTGATCTACTCCTAGCTTTCACCAATCAGCACTGGACTGCAGGCACAGTGTACTCAGGGATGTCTCTGGACCAAGAGCATTTCCATATGGAATTGCCTCATAGACCATCACATTTTATTACTGAGCAACCTTCTGGAGCCCAAAGAAGATAATCCTATAATATATCAACTATGTATATAGCAAGAAAGAAACCATATTCCTTTTTTTTTTTTAAGAGCTATTTAATTTTAATTTTTTTTATTTTTTTGTAGCGGCTTTTGCTTTAGGGTGCATTCATTCAACAATGAGACCGAGACAATGAGAAGGAGTGAGAGATATCACACACACACACATACCCACCCAGGATATGGCTTTTCCTTCCCATTCTCCTCCTGGAATCTTGGGCATGCACACACATGTGCCCAGTGTACATTTTAAGCCATCGGGTTTAGAACTTGATCTTGGAGTCTTAGAACTGCTTTGTTGGCCGGCTGGTGACACTTGATGGCCAAGATCTCCACCTTCATGATCTGGATAGAGTGGTGTGGATGCAGTGCTGGTTACCCATGTCTCAGTAGCACTGGGTGGTAGCACTGGGTGATAGCACCAGTTGTGGTTAGGTCTCAGTACTTGGGGTACATGTGGAGGGTGCTTCTGTGTGAGTTGTAGCACAGCTAGATGCCAAGTTCTTCACCATAAGTGAGGACTTAGTGAACACTTGCCCACAGTAGATAATGTCCCTGACAACTTCTTCATCGTCGTTAGCTGAGATACGACGTACCAGAAGCAGGACTTGGCAACCATGTGGTTAGGGGTGAAGATCTGCAGTAGAGGGGCAGTGTGCTGTATTTGGGGGTAGGCCAGCAGTACCCACCACCTTGTATCTTCAAAGTGTGTCCGAGGCCTTCATGGCATTCTCTTTCTTGCTGCCACCCACATACTTACTTTTTTTTTTTTTTTTTTTTTTGAGGTTTTCGCTATAGGGCACGTGTACTTGCCAGAAAGACAGAGAGAGACAGAAAGAGAGAAATCACCCCCCAGGGGGGCTGGCCACACCGCAATCACTTC